CCCTCATTCTTTACTGCACATTCTGCCCTAACTCCCTCAATCTTTTTAATGCTCATGATCAGGGCTTTCTGAGAGGCCCTCTGGCCCCTGGAGATGGATCCAAGCAACAATCTTGACCTCCCTGCTACATGTGAGCAGCTCTGCCCTTGGTGGGCACAGCTCTGGAGGGAGTCCCTAACTCTCTGGGCCCACATCTACTCAGACCCCAACATGGCTCACCCTCCCTAGCTGCACCACCACAGCTCTGTCTTCTGCTCAAAGACAGCCCAGCCCAGCCAGCCACGGCCACTTTCCAACTCTGGCAGTCTCACACCAGGCCATGGCAGAACCTAACGTCTCCTTTGCCCGTGACCACAGAGGCTCAGCCGCCGATGTTCACTGACATCATCCATCTGGTCCAAGGGTGAGTGACCAAAACAGACCTCTTCTTGGTCCTGCTCATCAGTGGTGCCTGCTGAGAGGCTCCTTAAATGGCAGTGTGTAGGGCAGCCGTCTGGTCTGACTCCAGGACATGGGGTGGGGGACCAATTCTCAGGAGGGATGAGAGGCAGGCCCCAGCTCTAGGAAAACACACATTTCCATGTGCTAAAAGCATCTTTGTGGGACGTGTTCAGAGAGAGAGAGAGAGAGAAAAGGCAGCTCCCGCAGCTGCAGAGGCCAAGTGAGGGGCCATGCCCGTGCTGAGCCCGGCACACAAAGGGTGAAGCTTTTAGGCGAGCAGCGGCCAGTGATCTCAGCGTCCCCCAGTCCTAATGCTCCTGAAAGGCTCTCTCCCGCTCCCTGTAATTGGGCATCAGTAGTTAATGCAGTATTGACTGCATTACACGCTCCCGTGCCTCCCCTCGCTAATGCCAATTGCATCACCTTGTACAGTCACCGGCCTGCTTAGCCAATAGCCGTTAAAAGCAATCCAAATCATGAATCATATGGGAAACTTTTAGCAAGACACCGCCATCCAAGGAGACAATTTACAGTTGAGTTAATCTGGGTACATTAGCGAGACATGGATTCTGGACGACAGACCAATTTATGTTGTTTCCCCGTTCCCCTTAGTGCTCTGTGTGGGCAAATGAATGGAAGAGCAGGGAACACAGAGAAGCACCTGCTTCTTTACCCAAGGCTGGGCGGGGGGAGACCCATCTTTACAGACTCTCTGCCTGGCTGAGTTTGGGTAGAAAGGAGAGCAGCCGTACATGCTGCTCAAGATTTGTGACTCCTCATTCCCAGCAGAGGAAGGCTGCTGCTGGGGTTGGTTATGGCAGATGCAGATGGTGACACCCCCATCTTCCAGGCACTGGGTAAGCGCAGGATCTGGGTGCCACCCTGCCAGCCCCATGAAGCCTTTACCTTGCTTTGCTCTGCCTTCCTGCTGATAGGGTGGGGTCTCTGGCACAGGACAGCATCAGGGCCCACTCCCTGCCTCCATCTCCAGGACTGGGAAGGCCCTGGCCAGAATCTGAGGGGCTAGCCCAGAAGGTCTTGCTGGTGGTACAGGTTAGGACCCAAGCACAGCCAAGCACCTGCTATCAAGGATCAACCGACTCAGCCGTGGAGGCTGTGCTCCTGGTGGTCATTAACAATGGAAGACTCTGTTTTCTGGTCCTCCTCAGTCCAGCTCCACTCTCCTTGGGCATTTTTACTTACTAAAAATGCTCTAGGAATCATGTCTGGTGTTCAGTTTCACAACCTGCCCGCTGTTTTCTCTGGTCACCGCAGCCTTCGTGCTGGGCCTCTGCAGAGGCGGTTTACACTCAGACTTGCCCTGTTCCCTGAGTGCACCTGGGGACACACCAGCGCCCCCAGCTGGATGCCCCAGCATCCTCTCCTTCCCGGTTCCCCACAGCCCAAGGCTCTCAGTGTTCTTGGGGCCTCTGGGACCCTCTGCTGGGGGGGCCTCTTCTCCAACAGCCCAAGGGCTAATTTGACTGGCAGAGTTCAGGGCGGTAGCTCCCTCTGCTCCCCTGGGACTGTGAGCCTCCCCCCAAAGCCCACAGCCTCATACCAGCGCAAGCCGCAGGTGCCAGGGGAAGAAGGGCTGTTTCTCCGGGAAAGTTGCAGCTCGGCTCCCTTTCACTGACAGGCAGACCCGGCAGCATTTAGAAAGCCCGGACCCTGAGTTCCAGTAAAGTGGAGATGGCTAGGCCAAGAGCAGGCATCCAAATGAAAGCAATTAATCTTAAAACCCGAAGTTTAACCGTTTGCAAAACAGATCTTTCCATCTCTGTGGTGACCCTTCACTGCTCGACCTAATGGATTACTTTATTAATAATGCACTGTGCTTAAAAGCAAAAAAAAAATTTTTTTTCTGACGATTCAATACTTCAGAAAGTCTCTTAAACCCGTTGCTACGGCAAACGATTGATATTTTATTATCTTTCAGAAGTACAACATGAAAGCCCTGCAGCCCAGCTGAGCGGGAGCTTTGGTCCTCGGCAGCTGGCAGACCCGACTTCAACCAGAGGAGCCCCAGCCTCTCCCGACAAGATGCTGTCAGGTGGAGAAAAGGCATTGGGGGTGGTTAATAGGAGTGCTGAGTCCCTGCTGCAGCCAGACAAAGGGTGCTGTGTGCAGCAGCCCTGAGGAACACACCCTTTGGGACCCTGAGGGGGCAGGCAATGCTGCCACCCAGTTCAGATAGCCACCTGCTTGGAGGGCATAAGTGTTTAGGAAGAAGTTAGGCAGTCAGTTTGGAGGGGCAGGTGAGTGGATCCAGAGCCTTTCTCCCTCCCCCAATCGAAGGTGCCACGTTCAAGGTTTCCTGGAACCAGGGAGGCCAGACTCTGATGAGGAGGGGAGCATAGATTTATGGGCAGAAAGGTTGCTTTTGTAGGACAGCTCAGCAGGCCAGGACCCCAGCAGCCTGCCTTCCTTGTGCTGTACTGGACCCCAGAGCCCAGTGGCATCAGTGGTAGCAGGCACCAATTGTGTGGACTGGACACAGTGGGGGACAAAGAGGCATCTCAAGCTCCTCTCCACAGCTCTGGCAGAAACCAGAGGAAACATGCCAGGGTGCTTGAAGTGTACTACAGTCTAGAGGCAGAAAACTGGCTAAAATGATCCCCGGAGATCCATTCCCACTCAGGATTCATCTGAAACCCTTAGTATGAGAGCCCAAGGGGTGGCTGACAGAGATCTAGCTTCAGGACCCTGGGTGGAGGTGGGGGTGCCATCTTGTCAGCATAACTCCAATCTCCCTAGCCTGAGGCCTCTCAGGTACAGAGCCTGGGTTTTCTGAATTCCTGGCTTGGGTCTGGGGAGCCAAGCATGCCAGATAACCTCTGCTAAAGATGTACCTGATTTCTTCGTATGCCCCATAGTGAGAATATCCCCCGGTACTAATGAAGGACCCTCTGCAATGGCTTCTCCAAGCCCTTCATTACTGCTGAGAGGGAAAGTGAAGTCTAGAGATGGGCATGACTGTTCCAAGGTAACACAGAGAGCTCATGATGAAAGGTGCTAAATCAAGGCCGCCTCCTTCCCTGTCTGGCCTGACCTCAGAACCCTTCTGTTCCTTTTCTTTCTCTATGAAGTTTCTGATGGCCCAAATGGGGCTCCAGAGGAGGGGCATGAATAGATAAGAATGTGCTGAAGATAGATGTCACACTCCAGTCAGCCCTGAAGCGCTTAGTTCCTCCCTTTCCTCTCTTCCTTTAGGCATACCAAGACATGGCCCGATTGGGCTTTCCAGCCACAGGACCCCCCACATGCCACCCCCAGGCAAGACACTTGAAATGCCCCTGCCTGCCAGATGTCTCAGGAGGTGGTGGGTAAGCTCCAGCATCAGCACATGGTAGCCGCAAACTGAACATTCTGTGTGACCTTGAGCAAGTCACTTAACTTTGCATGTTCACCAAGTGACCATGTCAATAACATCGTGGGCAGAGGCCACAGGCCCAGCGGAGGGTCCAGAGTAGAAGGTCAAAGGGTGGCCACCATCATCACTCCAGGAGAATTCCCGCTGACTCACAGCTTTGGGCCCTTTCGGTTCCTCACCAGTGGCAGAACCCAGGCGACCGGTGGGAGCCAACAATCACATACAGATCTCCCTACAACACCGACAGAGCAGGAGGGCCTGGGATGCCATGGAACTACCACTCTCCTGACCCTGGGGGCTCGTCTTGGGTCACAGAGCACCCACTTGGTTTACCCCCAAATGGGCTGGGATCCCAGCCTTCTAGGACACTGCAGGCACTCCCAGCCAGGAAGGCTTTGGGGTCTATGAGACCACCTGCTAGTGGTTTCCAGCAGCCATGGGCTCCTCTGTTCTGATCTCTCCCGGGCCCTGCAGTCTTCTGGGGCGCACTGAGGCTCTTGACCACGAAAGGTCCAAGCCACTCTCGCAGGCCGCTCCTGCACAAATGCCACTGGCCAGTGGTGGGACACTTTCTCCCTCCGGGCCAAACTCTCGCCTCAGCGCTCAGGGAGACAGGGAGGTAGTGGGCCAGCACACAGGCTTCTCTCTTTCTCAGCAAGCCACGCTCGCGGGCAGCAGTCCTCCGGAGGGCCCACCTGGCCTTCCGGATCGCGCCGTCCTCCCGCGCTCCCACTCGCCCCAAGCTCTGGAGTCCGGTTCTCGCCAGAAGCCGCTGATTTGCTCCGCGCTCAGCGCTCTCGGGTTACGCGGCCGGCGCGAGGCTGATGGCTGCGGTGAGAGGAGCAGCCGCAGAGAGGAAAGGCTCAACGCGAACCGCCACGGCGCGGAGACCGGAGGGGAGCCAGAGCCTCCACGCGGCCCCGCGGCGCATCGCACGGCCGGCGCGCGGCTCCCCGGCTCGCGGCCGGGGCCCGGGGGACGCGCGGCCCCGGGCTCGCTCGCCGCGCCCCCGCCCGAGTCCCGCCCGGCCCTCCCCCTGCCCCCGGCCCCTGCCCGCCGCGCGCCGCCCGCCCCGCAGTCCCCGCGCGGCCCGGCGTGTGTGCGCCTGTGTCCCCGCGTGTGTGTTCCCGCGCGCCGCGGCGGGGGGCGAGGGTTGGGGGGCCCGGGACCCCCGCCCGCCACCTACCGTCCTCCTTGTCCAGCACCATCATCTCGGGCGCTCCGTGTCCAGCCGCAGCTCGGCTCGGCTGGGAGAAGGGCGCCGACTCGGGGCGCGCTTCGGCGGGGCGGCCGGTCCTCGAGCAGTGAGCGGGCTCTAATTACCCGCTTGTCCGGCTCTTAACCTAGATTGCACTCAGCTAGAATTACATTCAGGAGTGAAGCACTTCGCGGATACAAAAGCAGTCTCACCTACTTTTGTGCCTCAGAATTGCAAGGAACTACGAACTGCAATTTAGAGAGGGAGGGGAGAGGGAGAGAGAAGGGGGAACAGAGGATCAGAGCCGTTTCTTTGATTCTCACCTTCTAAATGGCTCAATTTGCCCAGTATAATCTGTCTTAATGTAATTGCATTTGATAGCTCATAACCCTGGCTCTGGCAACGACACAGCTTTCAGCCTCATAAAGTGTTTTCCCCTCGGATTTAATCTGAATCTCAATCTAAAATTATATTCAAAGAGATGGGGGAATCTCGGCGGCCGTCTCCCGCTGCCTTTCTCCCTCAATGTATGAGGTTTGCACTCCTGCCACTGAATAAATGCACACATTTCCCGAGGCCCCCTCCCTCCCGGGTTAATGGGGAGTGGAGACGCGCGGCTGTCCGGCTCCGCAGCGCCACCTGGAGGCCTCTCGGCCCCAGCTAGGCGCGTGGCTCGCTCCAGTTCCGGGGTCCTGGTCTGCAGTTTGTCTGGTGGACCAACCCCATCTGCTACTCCCAGCCCCTCAGCCTTGATTTCTGCCTGAGCGATATTTCTCTGATCCGCGTCCCTTCCCTTCCTACCAGCTCTGCCCGGGGTTTCCGGTTGCTTCCCACATTGTTTGGCAAAGTTAACCCTCTTCAGAGCACAAACGTTCCCACCCTGAGTATCCCTGACCCCAGCACCGCCCCCAACCCCGCCAACCCCACCAAGAGCATCCTGATTCCGTGGAGTAGGAGAACTTGTCTCAACTTCTTTCCGAGCAAGCACGGGTTTTTTCATTCCACAATATTTACTGAGCATGTATTATGTGCCAAGCATTATTCTAAGGCACTGGGCATACAGCAGTGAACAAAACCCCCATTCCCTGTAACACATGTGGCAGGAAAGGAGACAGTGTCCATCATTTCTCCTCCTGGACCCTGCTTCCCTCTAGAACCCTGAGGCTGGTGTCCAGGCTGCCTATTCCAAGAAGGCCACCTACTTTTAAGTCCCAAGAGGTATTGTTTTTCTCCCTAGACACTATAGAGTTCTAGGTAGAATGGAAATAATGATTTTTCTCCAGGCCAAGGAGGGCTCCAGACAGATGTTTTGGAGGCTTGGTCCCAGCAGTCACTTCAGAGGACTAGACCCAGGCAAAGAGAAGGAAGCTGAAGTCCCTGAAGGAGAGAAGAATCACCAGTTGGGATTTTATTTCATCTCTGCCAATTCCCAACAGTGGGCCTTAGCAAGTCAATTTTTCTCTTTGGGCCTCAGTTTCCCTGTTTGTGAAGTGGGAGACCTACTCTTCCTGTCTCCAAGGTTGCTGTGGGATAATGCATGTGAATGTGCTTTGTAAACTGTGGCACTCCAGACAGTTGGTGGGGGAGGGAGGAGATTATCTGGTACAAAGGAGACCTGGAGGCTAGTGTTTGCCCCTTAAACCCTGGGAGGTCCCAATGCTTGACAGGGGTGGAGAATGGGGGGCTGCTGCTCATCTTCCTCCCTACTAGGCAGGGAAGTCAGGCTTTGAGGAAACAGGAAAGCCACTACTTCTAATGAGATGCTTCATCCGCAGCTCAGAGGTTTCACTTTCCCCTTCATCTTGAATACTTAATCCTAATAGTCCTTGAGTATATTTGATGTTAAATATATCATTTTGCTCAGACTCACCGTCCCTCAGGACTGTGAGCTTGATCTCTCCCCTATCACTGCAGCCAGAGGTGTGCCCTCAGGGTCTGGAGGAGGCTTTGGCACCACTGCCACCAGCATCTTTGGTGCCAGTCCCTTGCCCTAGCCAGAGCTGGGGGCCAGAGAGTACAGTGAGCACAGGGCCTGACAAGCTGGCAAAGGGCAGCTTCTTGCTGCACAAACCTCTGTTCTACCTGGAGGCATTCACTCCATACGGGCAACAGCCTTACTTCTGACTTCCAGGGGTGGCTTCTCCTCACTTTCAGAATCTGGCCCTGAACCACAAGTCAGGATTCAACTAGCCATGGCCACTCTCCCACTCTTTTGTCTACGTGTTGTGCTTGGGACTCTTTGTTTCAATACCAGCTCACCCCAGCCTCCAAGGTACCCAGTTAACAGCCACATGGCTGGCACCCCTTTGAGGAGTCAGGGCCCCAAACCCAGAGACTGGAGCAGGCCTGAGGTGCTAAGCAATGGGGCTGCAGAGGCAGGCAGGGAATCTCAGCAGGGAACTCATGCTGTGTGAGGGCCGCTTATGCCCACAGGCAGCTCTCTCTGTGCCCCCAGCTGCGAGCATTATTTTCCCAGACTGATCTGGAGGGGACCTCCACAGCTGGGTTACAGAGCTGCTCAGTAAGTCTTGGAGGGTTTGGGGCTTGAGTTCCCAGCCTGGAAGCGGCCTGCTGGGTTGACAGAGGCAGATAGGAGCCTCACTCATCAGATCCGGTGGCCTCCTTCTCAGCTCATAGGTAACTGCTAGGCAGGCAAGTAACTCCCACCCCCTGCTCACCCCCACTCAAGCTGCCTCCAGGTCCAGGGACACGCCCACATCAGAGTGGAATCCTCAGATCCCTCAGGGATGGGGGAGGTAGTCTTTGCCCAGAACATTCCACAGGTGATGAGCATGTAGTCTCACTTTGACATGCCAAGAGTGCTTCAAAATGCTCTTGAAATGCCTCTGGGGACAGCAGGGAGAGGCCAGTTGATCAACCCCTGAGGTTACTTTGAGGAGAAAGGGGGTGCTACTGGCTGCCTTACAAATTTCTGGGCAGGTCCCAGCAATCTGTCCCTGCACCTGGCAGGAAAGTCCTGAGGAAGAGCTCCTGATTGAAGGTGGGAGTGGGAGATAGTGGGACTTCGTGCCCAAGGGCCCAGGCAGACTAGATATTCCAGAACGCTTTGGTGGAGACCATCAGGTGTGCCTCAGCCTCAGGGCCTGCTCAACACAGTGCGACTGCCTTCAGGATGGAGTTACAGGTGATTCTCAGAGAGGTATTCAGGGTGACAAGGGCCTCTTCTCTGTGGCCACCACAGTTGACAGGACAGAGTGAACCTACAGAATTTGCAGTGCAATCAGGGGCCCTGCTGGCCATGTTCAGATGCCTGGCCCTTCTCCCGACTTACACAAAAGTGACCAATGCACAGGAATTTGCAACTAGCTAGAGTGGAAAAGTGCTCAGTTGGCAAACTTTTCCTCTTTTGGTTTCTGAAGAACCTGGACAGCCCTTCTCAGAAGCTGCAGCCATAAACTGTTAGGCCTTGTGGAAGCCTAAGCCAAATCTTTATCCCAGAAAACAAGTCTCCCCCATTCCCTGATAAAGGTCAACCTTCCCCTGCACAACAGCCCTGAGAAGGTTGGTGTAGGCTGACCAACTGTCCAGGTTTGCCCTGGGACTGTGGAGCTTCCTAGGATACAGGACTTTCAGTGCTGAAACCAAGACAGTCCTGGGCAAATGAGGACAGCTGATCACTACAGTGGGAGGTGGTAGAGTGGGATAAGGGACCAGTGGGGCCAGAGAGGAAGGCCAGGCAGGCAGACACTTTCCCCGCAGACCAGCAGCTGCCTCTCAATCCCAAATTCCCAACCTCCTGCCCCATTGTGTCATTTTCCAGGCACTAATGGACTGTTCCAGGCCCTGAGGATGGTCCACAGGCCAGCCAGGGCTGTGAGTTCTGAGAGAATGTCAGTGGAAAGGGCATGAGTTGGACCCAGAGGTGGGACGAGATTTTGTGAGGCTTACTGCAGTTTAGGGGGCTCTTTAAGAAAAGGAACACAAGATTACTAATGCAAAATTACCACCAGGGACCTGGCAACTGAAGGACCCTGAACTTCACTAGCTTCAAGGCAAACCCGCCTCTGTTTCAACCTGATATTTTGGATTATATGGTCCACCCACCTACTCCAGCCAACGCAGCACCTCCCAACACCAGGACTGGGTGAACTGATGGCAGCGTCCTCCCCAGTCTTGCCAGGGGCAGAAACAATGTCACCCATCCCGCAGCTTTAAGTCCCAGACCGGAGGGACCCCAGGCCCGTGCTGGTTTGACTGCACCCTCACCCCTGCACCTGCAGGTTCTCTGGGCATCCCCCGGAGGATCCGTTCTGCAGTAGAGTGCGGGACGTCGTGGAGACACCCAGAGAGGCCGGGAGACTGGATGACAGTGGGCACTGACTGGAAGCCCGCGGCGCGGGTCGCTCCCGAAGCCCGCCAGGCGGCAAGAGCCAGTGAGAAAGTTCCCGTCCGGAGCCTGCGGGGCTGGCTGGCGTGCTCCTGGGAGCGGTGAGGCTCCTAATGCCGCTGACGAACCTCGGGGACTGAGCCTGGCACCGCCAACACAGGCTCCCGCGCACGTACCCAGCCGCCGCGCTTCCGGAAGCCGCCAACCTGCCCGCGGCGGCCGGTGCAGGCGTGGGGGAGCCGCCGCCGCTAGCGGGGTGGCCTCGGCAGGGCCCCGCCGCCGCCCCCGCCCCGCGCCCCCCGCGCCCCGGGACACCCGCACGGCTCGTCGGGCACCTACCGTCCTCCTGGTCCAACACCATCGTCCCCTGGCCGCTCCAGCCGGACACGGGCCGAGGACGCAGAGGGGCGCGCGGCTCGACTCCGCCGCCGCCGCCTGCGCGGGCTCCGCGCCCCGCGAGCCGGCCGCCGACGGGCCGACCGACGGCGCCGGGAGCGCAGCCCCGCGGGCAGGGAGCGCGAGAGGAGGCGGAGGGCGCGGCGCGGCCGGGGCGGGCGCAGGGGCGCGCCGGCCGGGCCGGTCGCCGGAGCCGGCGCGAGCAGCCGCTGCCCGGGCCGGGCCGGAGCCGGAGCCGCAGCCGCGCGCTTCTCCCTCCGCGCCGGCCGCGCTCGCCTCGGCGCAGTGAAGGCTGCGTTTCCCAGGGCCCCTCAGATTCCCCTGTTAATTAAATCAATTCATTATGCTCAGATCTGATTAGCAGCCCTTCCCCCCCTTTGAATCAATTATTCAATACACAAACATAATTGCTTGGGCCAGAGGTGCCCGCCATTAGCTTATTTAACTCCAAGGACACTAATTACCCGCAGGGCACGGGAACTTTTCTCATTAATTCTGACAAAACACAAAAGCACAGCCAGAGTGTGTGCGTGAGGGACTCTGTGTGTGTGTGCGTGTGTGTCAGCGTGCCAGTGTGTGTGTGACCGCCTGCCAGACTGAGGGCTGTGAGGGGCGGTGAACCCCTGTGTGAGTTTAAGACGGGCGTGGGGGGCGGGAGTGTGCGGTTCCGGGCCTGTGTTGTGAGGGGGGAAGTTGTGAGGGGGGGGACTCCGTGCCTGCATTTCTACACTAGTACCTCGGATGGCTGGGTGTGACTCTGAGTCCGGGGACTGTGGGCCAGGGATGGAGACCCAGTTCAGGAGTGTGTGAGATTTCGAAAGTGCTTCTGTGTGCGACTTTGCGACTGTGACTCCATGGCTGCTGTGACAGGCGCCCATATCCCCTTTCCTTTGTCATCATTGCCCGCGACATGCTCAGCCCCACGGGGGAAAGCGCAGATCACAGAAATCACGGAGGATAAGGAGGCTGTGGGTGCCCCTGAAGCCAGGATGGGCCACAGCATCCCCCTCCCCATAACCTGTTCATGCACTGGCTGGGATTTGCTCTCCCCCAGCCCCGCCCCTCCTCACTCCCCAGTTATAAGCCCCAGGTTCCCACCCCCCTCCCAGTACTGCCCCACTCTCCACTTTTATCCCAAAGCCCTCCCCTACCTCCATTTCCACGCATGCCTGACACCCAGGCACACTCCCCCCAACTCTCCTCCACCCCACGTCTAGTTCTCTGTCTCCTGTCTCAAGGCTGTGCTGAGGGTGTGCCTATGGTTGACCAACTTCTCCACATTTTACCTCCCAGGAAATCTCTATTGAGAGAGCCAGGGAGAGAGCCCACAGAGGCAGGGACACAGAGGGTAATTGATTCCCCCAAATTAGGTTTCTGCTTTCTAAAGACTGGTATTGTTCTTGTTCTCAATGTGCACAGTGGTATTGAAGATTTCCTTTTTGTTTCCTCGGGCAATGAATGAGCTTAATCCATTTGGCTTTATAAATCAGGAAACTAATATTCGCTCCTTTCCATAGCAGCTTTTTAAAAAATTTAATTGGTGGGGGAGGCGCGGTTAGTCACCCTTATGCTGTCCCCAAGCCCCCACTTATCAAAACACATTCTGATTGAGGGGTGGAAAGGGGGGGCTCATCCTGATTCCTCCCACCCTCCTCCATCCTTGCACATGGACCCACATAGTATCTGGGAAAGTTTGAGAAATGATTGCATGAATTATGTACAATTTAGTGAAGAAAAGGGAGAGTGCTCAGAGGGACTCTTCAAAATGATCTCCCAAACTGGCTGCTCTCAATTCCTCACTAGCACTGAGCTACTGCCTAGATGAGTGCTGGCTGTTCCTTGTACTAGGGCTCTGGTCAAGGGGGCAAGTGGGACCTAAAAGTCTGCCCTCTCTCTGCTCTGCAAGCCATGTGCTTGGCATAGGCTGCACCCACGCAGAGAGGAAATCATTGGCTAATTTCCACAAAGGCACCCTATAGAATAGCATGGCCCTGCAATTGGGTATCTCTGCTTGGCCAGAGTTCACTCTCAGAGAAGCCAAACTGAGGGGTGATCATCCAGCCTCCCTGCCCCCACTCTCATGCAGCAAGGCCCTGTGTGATTTCTTAAAAGAAATCAGGAGATTTTCATAGAGAGCAAGAGAAAATTCAGAGAGATTAACCATCATGGAGCGGTCAAGAATACTGCAGCAGATGCCCAGCCCCATCTCTGCGTTTATAGCGGGCCCCAACGCCTGGTGAAAGACACTGAACTCAGTCCACAGCTGGGAATGAGACATGAAGAGACCTGTCCCAAGGACTGAGGTCCCCAGCACAAGTCCTGCTGGGGGAGAGATAATGAGCCTCCTGAGAGGAGATCTTGGGTGGACTGGACCTAGCAGCCATGCCTGTAGTTTGGAGGGAGCAACAGTTCTAGATACAGTGCAAGGCTGAGCCTAACCTACTCCTGATCAGCACTCTGAGAAGAAGATGGCAGTGGTGCAAATGAAGAGCCCTTTGCTATGGGAGCCCCATCTGAAAGAGCTGGTCACTAGAAGCTAAGGTGTCACCTTGCTGGGCCAAGAAGGAAAAAAGCAGCTGGGGTCAGCAACTTGGTGGCATTGGCTGCAAGATGGCAGGGGCATCGGGCAGCAGCTCTAATTATATGGGAGGTATGTATCTCTTCCCCCAGCCCATCAACCCCCACCTCCCACCCCTAGGATTGTTAGAGAGGACATGACTATCCAGAACTCCAAATCTACTGGTGTCCAGAGGGCACTTGGGTTACAAGTGCAAGCATTTCTAGGACTTTTTGGAGAAAAGGATCCTGGAGTGGAGAATCAGAGCATCAGAATTTAGGGCTAATTATTGTGATGTGTGAGATCTGGTATTTGGCATTTGTATGCCTTGTGGCTGTGTGAGCCAGAGTGGACTGGAACAATCATAGGGGAGCAGCTCTGGTGCAACTGCCAGCTTTGCCCAGCGGCAGTGCAGGTCAGTCCATCAGCATATTACACTAAACACGAAGAGAGTGAATTTCCCTATCAAAAAACAGATTGCCTGAGTGAGTTAAAAATAAAATACAGCCAAATGCTGTTTACAAGAAATACTCCCAAAACAAGGTGACAAAAGAGACTGAAAATAAAGCAATGGGCAAACCTATACCAAGAGAATGCAAGCAGAGAGGGAGTAGGAGCCGCAATATTAATGTCAAACAAAGCTAACTTCAAAGCTAAAAGCATAAACTGCTTGCAAAATTAAGAAACATCCTCTTAAATTAGCATTGGATCAAAAATAAGATCAAAACTGAAATTACAAATACACTAGTAATGAAAAAAGGAACCCAGCACACTATATAGAACTTATGGAACACAGCTGTACTCACAGGGTAAAAAATAGCCTTAAATGCTTTTTATGTAAAAAAAAAAAAAAAAGACTGAAAGCAAATGAACTAAATATTTAATCTAAGAAATGAGAAAAAGAACAAACTAAGCCAAAAAAAAGTAGAAGGAAATTAATAAGGTTAAAGTCAGAAATTAATGAAATAGAAAATAAACAAATAATAGAAAAAAATAATTAAAAGGGAAAATTAGAACCAAAACCTTGTTCTTTGAAATGAGTAACCAAACATAAAAACCCCTCTAGGCAAGCCTGGTTAAGAAAATAAAGAAAGCAAAAATGTATGATATTAGGTATAAGAAAAGAGTTATATCAGGTACAGAAAAAATTAAAGAATTATGACAATAATATGTGTAAGCCTATGAAAATAAATGTGAAAACCTAGAGGAAATGAATGGCTTCTTGCAAAGTAGAAAATTATCAAAATTGAGCATAGAAGAAGTTGAAATCCTGAATAGGCTAATAAACAGAAGAGATTAAAAAAGATATTATAACTCTGCCATTAAAATATCACAAGGCACCATATGCTCCAGCAATTCCACTTTTGGATATGCACCCAAAAGAATGCAGGTTCTGGAAGAGATATTTGTACACCCTTGTTCTTAGCTGCATTATTCACAGTAGCCAAAAGATGGAAGGAACCAGCCGGGCGCGGTGGCTCACGCCTGTAATCCTAGCACTCTGGGAGGCTGAGGCGGGCGGATTGCTCGAGGTCAGGAGTTCGAAACCAGCCTGAGCAAGAGCGAGACCCCGTCTCTACTATAAATAGAAATAAATTAATTGGCCAACTAATATATATATAAAATTAGCCGGGCATGGTGGCGCATGCCTGTAGTCCCAGCTACTCGGGAGGCTGAGGCAGCAGGATTGCTTGAGCCCAGGAGTTTGAGGTTGCTGTGAGCTAGGCTGACGCCACGGCACTCACTCTAGCCTGGGCAACAAGCGAGACTCTGTCTCAAAAAAAAAAAAAAAAAAAAGATGGAAGGAACCCACATGTCCATTAATGGATGAATTGATGAAATGTGATATTTATCTACAATGGGATATTATTCAGCCTTAAAAAGGAAGGAACTTCTGACACATATTATAACATGGATGAAACTTGAGAATATTATGCTAAGCGAAATAAGTCAGTCACAAAAAAATAAATACTGTTTGATTTCATTTATGTGTGGTACCTAGAGTAATCAAATTCATACAGACAGAAAGTAGGATGGTGGTCGCCAGGGGCTGAGGGTAGAAGGGAGTAGGGAGTTGTTGTTGAATGGGTAAGCATTTCTGATTTGCAAAATAAAAAGAGTTCTGAAGATTGGCTACACAGCAATGTGAATGTAGTTAGCATACTGTACTGAACTGTACACTTAAAAATGGTTGGGATGGTGAAATTTATGTTTCATGTATTTTATCACAATTGAAATAAAAAATCATAGATTAAATTAAAAATGAGTTTCATATAACCTAAATAATAGATGATTTTAATGTTATTTAAACTCTTCCACTGTTCCACACAAGAGAAAACTTTGGAAAGCTTCCTAATTTGTTATATAAGCTCACATTTTCTTAATTACCAAACCTTATAAGGATTGA